ATTTAGAAATTATGGATAAAATTATTCTCCAGGACTTTAAAAGGAGGATTGTTCTATTGAGGATTACTTGATTATATCAAATATATACTAATGTGAAAAATATTCCTCAAACTGACGCCACTTTAAAAAAATTATTTATAGCATATGGAGGAATAAACATTATAACTGATATCAAAAAATTACTCTATCCTAGGAATATAGAGGAGGTAGGATGGATTGACATATATAAAATAGCAAAACAACTATATAAATATGAAAGAACTATTTTGACATCAAGAATTGATTTCATTAGATTAAGTCGTGGGGCTACTGAATCCGTAATGAGCTATTTAAAAAATTTAAAGGTAGCCCGAAGATGCGAATTTGAAGACAATGTAGAACTGAGAATTCGAGATCAATTAATCGCCGGACTAAAGATGTCACAACTGGATAAAGAACTACGATTAAGATATCCGGATACTAAGACGAAGACCAACCGTTAAGCTTAAACAAAGTGGTAGAATTGGCTTTAGCGATGGAACGAGCCGACTTAGAAATAAATAATACTGCTAAAATGGTATATAAAATCAAAGAGCCGAATAAACATGATAATGATAATCAGATAAATCAACATGATAAAAATAATCGGCAGTATAAGTATAATAATAATGATAAACGGCACTATCAAAATGATAATAAAGCATATGTAAAAAGACAACTAGTGCCCGGGTATAATAACTACCATACAAATAATAATAGTAATTGGAGAAAACCATGCTATTTCTGTAATCGGTTTCATGCTATTAGAAATTGTCCCGCCTACGGAAAATTGTGAAGCAAATGTAGGAAACCAAACCACTTCGCCGTATGTTGTAAAACTAAAGAAAAGATTTACGGAACAAATTACAATAATAAAGAAGACGATTCGGATGTCTCAATAAGAAAAATATACAAATATGGGCAACATCCAACAATTGAGGTATTAATAAACAACCAAAAAATTAAAATGGAATATGATACTGGCTCGGCAGTAACCATTATTAATGAAATAATATGGAATAAAATCGGAAAGCCAAAACTTAGAAGGGCTAAAGCACCAACTACATATGGAAATAATAGTTATGGGTGAAGCTGATGTAAAAGTACAATTGAATAATAACATAAAATGGCTTCCATTATTAGTCACACAAACAAATGATGCAGCTCTATTTGGATTTCCATGGATTATCGAATTTGACTTAGCGTTACCAAAAAATGTAAAAATCAATATGATCAACAATAGATATAAATACAATGATAATGGGAAAGTAAATATTGACAAACTATATAAGGAATTTGCTACGGTGTTTGATAATAAATTAGGATTAATAAAAAATGTCGAACCAGTAAAACTACAATTGGAAGAAAATACAAAACCAATTGCACTGCCAGCTAGAAGAGTACCGTTGCCTTTAAAAGTAGAAAAAATGAACCGAAACGTTTGGAAGAAAATAATATAATCAAGAAAATAGATCCATCAACAACAAGAGTAACCTGGAGTACTCCAATGGTAGTGGTACGTAAAACTTCAGGCGAACTACGATTATGTGGAGATTTTAAAATAATGTTAAATAAATTTCTACATATTTACAAATGAGTATTGACGATGAATCGCAAGAATTATTAACAATGGTAACACCAAATGGATACTACCGCTATTTACGATTACCTTTTGGTATAGCTACAGCACCAATAATATTTCAACGATATATGGACGATTTACTGGCTGATTGTAAAGATACAGCAGTTTATTTAGATGATGTTATAATCACAGGAAAAAATGATACTGAACATATCGAGAATATAAAACAAGTCCTTAAATAATTACAAAATGCGGGATTTAAAGTCAAAACAAGCAAAATAAATTTTATGAAGGAAAAAGTATCACATTTAGGATACATAATAGATGAAAATAGAATACACCCAGATAAAAGTAAATAATAGCAATAAAAAAATATCTAACTCCAAAATATAGACATGAAAATCATTTTTAGGTATATTAAACTCTCATACACGGTTCATATCAAACTTACATTATCGCCGAATTCCAACTAATAAAAATGTTAAGTGGAATTGGACTAAAAAAGAGGATACATTATTTGAAATAGCAAAAGGAATTGTAAGAGAACACAATACTATACAATTTTATAAACCGGAACTTGACTTAATACTAGAAACAGATGCATCAAACCAAGGATTTAAAGCTGTACTCTTGCAAAAATATGATAATGGTAACGAATACCCAATAGCTTACACCTCGAGAACTTTACAAGATGCTCAAAAGAATTATTCAACAATCGACTAGAAGCCAAAGCCATAGTAAACGGCGTAGAAAAATTTCATAACTATTTGTATGGACGAAAATTTAAAATTCGAACGGACCATAAACCTTTAATAAAAATATATGGGGATAACAGAGATTTAAACGCTTTAACAAACCAAAGATTGTTACGTTGGGCTTATAAATTATCAGTATATGATTATGAAATAATGTATAAGAATGGCGCAAGTAATATAATTGCAGATGCTTTATCGCGAAACCCAATAGAGAAAAATGATAATAAAATAACAAGTGAAAATAAAACAGTGAAATATATACGAAATCTTACTTATGACACATTAACTCTATCAGGAAAAGAACTTAGAGATGAAACTGCTAAAGATCCAATTTTAAGAAGAGTAAAAATATTATTAAATGGTACAAATATACAAAATCAAGCACCAGAATTACAAGCTTTTAGAACAAGAATAGATGAAATAGAAAATGATGACGGTATCCTATTTTGGAATGGTCGCTTAATAATTTCATATTCACTACAAAAACGAGTTTTACAGATATTACATACAGGTCATCCCGGTATTACATCGATGAAATCCATTACGAGACATTATATATGGTGGAAAAAATTAGATAAAGATGTCGAAAAATTAGTCAACCGCTGTACTGGGTGTCAAAAACATCGCAGAGATATACCAGAAGTTGCCGTATACTTATGGAATCCGCCAGCACAACCCTGGGAAAGGGTACATTTAGATTTTGCCGGACCACTAGACGGATTTTATTGGCTGGTAGGAATCGAGGCATATTCAAAATGGATAGAGATCGATAGAATCAAAGATACCACAAGAGATTAGAAAAATGGCTTACACGATATGGTGTTCCACGTCAAATTGTCACTGAACACATAAAAACTACACCATACCATCCGAGAAGTAACGGATTAGTTGAAAGATGCATACAAACTATAAAAATCGGTATTTTGCTAATAGAGAACAAACAAATGATGGGGAAAAATGCCTTAATGAAGTATTAGTTACATATAGAAATTCCGAACATTCCTCAACGGGCCGAATACCTGCCAAACTATTTATGGGGAGAAGACTAAATACTTTATTAGACTGGGTGAAACCATCAATTACTGAAAAATTAGAAACCTCTGTAGTAAAACACGATCAGTTAAACAAAGGCATACATAGAGATTTTGGAGAAAACGAATTAGTTTGGATAAAAAATCCACTTGAAAGGATAGCATGAAGGAAAAATAATAAATCAACAAGCAAAATTCTCGTATAACATAGAAGAAAAAGATAAAATAGTATGAAAACACGCAGATCAACTACGAATAAGGGAAGAACCAGACGAAACCAAATCAATAATACCAATTGAACCAAGTCAAAAAGGAAGGCAACGAAAGCCAACAAAAAGATTAATAGATGAACTTGAACTTGGTAATAAAAAGATTGATAGATGATCTTAACTTGGTGGGAAAGAAGATATGTTATATTTGAATGTTTATATATATTTTAAAAGGTTACGCTATTTGAATTATATATTTCTTATATTTTATATTATCTTATGGAGGTCAATGTAATTGCATATTAGTGGTAGTTAAATGACATAATTATAAAAGACTATATATAGGAAACAATTTTATAATAAAGAGTCTATTGTTTTGACCATAAAAATTTGATACCTATATTATTATTTTGGTTAAAATATTCCTGCCCCTACTAAGCCCTACCCTACATTGTCTAATGATTAGACTGCAGAGTCGAGAGGGAACGATAAATCTTATATATCTTAAAATTTCCTAGGTTCAAAAAAAAGAACCCCGGGTCTGGACCCCGGGTTCGTGCTCAGAGCGGGCCTGAACACATAATTAAGTAGTAATTTTACGACCAAGCAAATTAACAACACTAAGCTAGCATCGTGAGGCTTAGTGTTAATTACCATTTGTTCCATCCTTCCTCTCCTCTGTTAACATGGCGGGGAGTCTACTTTTCCTTGTGATTTTTCAGCAATTCATTTAAATCAATTCCCTCATTACCTAATTTTTAAGGGTAATTCAACATACGTTAAAATTTGTAACAACGTTTTATATGGTATACGCCTAAATTCCTTAAGCGGTAAAGGTGAAAATGCTATATTGTAAGCCTCCTTAGACAATGATATTATTATGAGCTCTCTTGAAATATTTCCACTTAGCCAATAAACCATTTTCATTAAATTAGTGAAAACAAATCATTATTCAATTTTTTGAAATATTAATAATCAATCACCTTGATCCTTAATATTATATTTTATATGTATATAACGCAAGAGTCTTCCATTCTAAAATCGTTTGTATGCCTACTATAATATGGAGACTTCTTCGATTAAATAGTATTCCTATAGTTGAAAATCCTCTTTTCAAAAAAAAACCGGCTAATTAAAATTTTTTAGACAAAATAACATTCCTTAAACTTCAAGATTTCAAAAAAGGCTAAATCTTTCTGCAATCTATATACGAAATCTCGAGGCTTAGGTAATATTTTCGTTACTTTAGCTATTTTTTAAAAATGGGACTAAATAATTCAAGTCATCTCTCGTTAGGATAGTGATAAAAAGTTTGGGAACATTATAAAAGATTTGAAATTTGAACATTTCCATATTATAACTTGGGAAGTTAATTTTTTATTATTATTTATATAGGCTTAAAATATTTTTATTTTTAAAACCTTGGCATTTCAAATATTATCTCACTATATTATATTTCATGAAAACAATAAATATTACATTTAAGATGGCGTCGGCCTTGATTTTTTAAAAAGAAAAAATGATTTTTTGTATATAAATGTAAAAAAAAACAATATTTATATATAAAATCTCGTAAAAAAATTAAATAAAACGAATTACATTTTCTTTAAACGAATAGGTTAAATGGATATAAGGTATGGGTTGTTTTAAAGAAAGGAGCGCGCCATAACAATTTAAAGAAAGGAGCGCGCCATAACAATGAAGGATTGTTATTGGTCGGGAAGAATTAATTCACAATATGAATTCGGGCAACTAATTGCATTTGATAAAACATATTTACAAATAATCATTCTGATTGGTCATAAAACATTATATATTTCTTCAAATTTTTTTATTTGATAATGAAAAATATAAATATTAAAATAAATAAAATTTTTAAAAAAAATAAGGTATGAAAATAAACATGTAAGATTCGATTATATGTGATTGAATGAATGTTATGCAAAAGATTTATATAAAATTTATATCAATCAAAATCAAAGTTATAACAAATTGCAATAAAACAAAATTCATTATTATTTTACTTATCATTTATTTTCTACAAAAAAACAAATATAATAGTGTTTTTTTTTAAATTTTAAGTTTGATTTTATTTTTAATTCGAAAAATTTAGGGCCGCCCTTTTCTTTTGTCATACATTATATTTAAAAGGTGTATATAATAAAAAAATTGCGAATTTCACATTAAAAAAAACAATTATAAATGTATACTTGTTGATAATAATTATGGTTGGTAGTTAAATCTTAGAGGCAGTAAATAATTCTTCTCTTAGAGAGAAAAAAAAAGGTGTGTTAGCGTGAAAAAATAAAATCTCAACTTTGGTTTAGAAATTACTATAATAATCATTATCTTCTCCTTAGCAATTATAACAAATGATTTTTTTTTAAAAAGGAGTGGGAAAAAACATAATAATGTCATTATTCCCCGCAGAAAAAAAAGAGAAGGCGATTTTAAACATGTCAAAATTCAAGTAGATTTAAAATATAATATAAAAGGGTGATATCTTTTCGGTATATAAAAAAATCGAAATAATGAATGCGATAAATTAAAAAAAAATATATATTGTATTGTAGCAAATTTTTAATCGGAATAAGATTTGACGAACTTTTTTTTAATATAACTTTTGCAGGATAGCGGAGTGGATAGCTTTTTATCGTTAACCAAAATTTTTCGAATTCCATTGCTGCCATCTAACGAATGTTAAAATTATAATTATGGTGAATTCCATGACAAATCAACATGAGTCCCAACCTCCTCAGATTTTTGCTAGAAGTTTGCATATATTATAACTAAGAAAAAGAAAAAAAACTTCAGCCTCCAACGCCAGTGTCTGAAATACGTGCCTCTGATTAAAAAAAAATAGGGCATTTTGGGCAAAATGCATTGTATTATTCTTATTACAATGTTGTGCAGATTTTGCTGGAAAACTTTTAAAAATTTTTTGCAAGTTAAATAATTTTATTAAATAAATTAAAAAGTATGGATATGTTTTCCATCAAATCTGCACAAGACTGTATAATTAAATGATGATAGATTATTTTAATGTTGAATAGAAGAATAGCAAATATAATATAATAAAAAAAATTTAATCTGTTATTTTAACTATTCATAAGTCATTATTTTTCTGGATTCCGAAGCCTTTGTTTAGAACAAAGGTGCACAGCCCTAAATTAATATTAGTCTTCCAGTGAAATTTGAATAAATTATATTGTTGATGTAAAATACTGGTTTTAATCTGAAATTTTAATTTAATCAATATTTTAAGATAAACTAAAAATTGTTTATAAACTGTATGAATTAATCTTTATATATATATATATTAAGAAATAAAACCTTTATATCATAAACAATATTAAAATGATTTTTTAAAAGAGTTTCTTAAATCAAAGAGTAATTTCTGTAATAGTTATAAAATTATTTTTAATTAAATTTTGCAACTAATTAAAACTTATATGAAAAATGAATCACGGACAGAAATGTCCTGAACAAAGACACTCCACAATACCCACGGACAAAAAGGGACATTATGTGGACTTGAAAGAAGTGTTTATAATTATATTATAATATTTTCTTAGCTAATATTAAAATCACAAACCTGACGAGGTCAAAATTTTAAGCCCAGACGGGAATTACATTTTATTTCCAAACCAGGCCTATATTCATTTATTTTGACCCAGCTCGGGCATAGTATTTTTAAAGTTTCCTTAATCTTTATTTAAAATAATTTTATCTGAAGATAAAATAAATGTTATAGATAAATAATTTGATATAATTTAAATTTATTTTTTTAAAAATGAGTCGAAATAATTGAGTCCCTGACCCGGGCTCGTAATCTTTTATCCCATACCTTGATTTTTTAATTTTTCTTTACTATTTACAGCTCGATCTGGGCTAGGTCAGGTTTTGGACCTGCACGCATAGAAGGTGATAGGCTAAGCTTGGCCAAATTTTCTATAGGACTATCGGACTAATTAGCCAGAGTCATAACCTTTTTAAATGGATATTAGGTGTTTTCAAAACGGCCCAGATACAGAGAGTAACAATGATACAATATTATTCTTGATATTTTACAATGAAAACGATATAATTATATTTAGGGGTGCACAGATAACACTCTTTTTGAATGTCGATCCGATACTGATTTTTTATACATATTTAATATCCTTTAATTTTTTTCAAATGTACCCATCCCATCTACCTTTTTCTATAGTGTACCATCTCTAGTTATAAGGTCTCGTTTATAGTAAGCGCGCTTTGCTCAAGGAACGCGATACCCATATCTGGGTATTTTTCAAAAGCAATCAAAATAACATAGGGGAGAGTGTAGCCAGGGAATCAGGAATTAGAAAAGACCATGAAATTTCACCTATTATTAACTTGCTTTAAAATATCTAGCGATAAGCGTTTATTATAAACGAGGGCTAAGTCATTTAAAATAGTGTTGTGTAGATTTGATGTAAAACATTTACCTTCAATTTTTACAATTTAAATAATTTTCTGTAATTGTTTTCTCTGTAATGGTTCTCTTCTCTGTATATTTTTATTATATTTTAATATATATATTTAAATTATATATGCTCCATATTATATAAAATAAATTTTGCATTAAAAAAAATTTTAATTAAAAATGCGTTAAAATATATCAAAATGTGCCTTAAAAATATCTAAAAACAACCGATGCCACATTTTTGTATCTAGATACTTTAACAATTCTTAAATTTTAATTGTGTTTTGACAAAAAATTTTATTTTCAAGTATACAAAAAGAATAATAGCATTAAATATTCATGTAGAATTATTTTGTTGTATAAAATAACATGTGTTTTGAAAACACCTTCTTTCACTGTAAAGTCTTTGAATAAAATTTTTTGTTTATTTTGAAGAGATACATATTATTAATTTATAATCTCGCTTAAAAAAAAATTAATTTTAAACAAAAGTATTTATAAATTTTATGTAGGAATTATGCATGAGTGAATAGCAGATTCCGAGCCCGATTTTTATTGATTAAAAACATTTCTTTTTTTTTTAAAAAAAATATTTAAAAAATAATATTTTGCAGAGCTAAAATCAGCATTTCGAATAGACAAATCCAAACGAACCGTTATAGCTTTCCGACCCGTAACCACCCTATAAGAAAATTTAGAAAAAGAAATGAATATTTTAAAATATTTATTTAATTATCCCTTTTTAGGTGTGGGAAAATTTTTGTTATAGTAAAATATTATATTTTTATCTATATAAATATAATATAATTTAAAATTTTCAAAAAAATTTTTAAGTGGTATATGGATATCACCTCCCCCAGCCATATCAAGAGGCATAGGAATTTTTTAAAAAAAAGGGGAAAATTGACATTAATTGCACCTCCATCTTATTAAATGGGTTTAAACATCAAAATTAAAAATTTTATAGCTTTTTAAATATAAAATCTTATATTTTTTTTTAATTTTAACATTAGTAAATTTAAAAATAATAAGTCATATATTATTTGATTAACTCCTGTTTCAAATATAAATATCAGAGACCTGCAGGCCCGACCTTAAGCCCGGGCAAACGGGCTGGGTTTTTTTTGAATCGATTTTCTCTCTTACCTTTTAGTCTGGTTAGTCGGAGCTATATAGCCCCTAAACAGCCAGCTGTTTATAATAAGTCGAACCAGTACAAACCCTTAGTCATTTTAAATCTTAATTATCACAAAATAAATTCTCAAATAGCTTAATAACATTATGTATTCCTGAAGTACATTAAATAATTATACAATAAATGCACAATATGTTCAACTTGTGCTATGAATGAAACACATGCAATTTTAATTTTAAATAATAATATTTTTATACCTATATAAGAAAATTATTCTTAGGCATTGAGAATGATTGATTTAAAAAATAAAAGGAAAACAATTACAGAAGTAATTCTTTTAAACTTATCTTAAGAATTTATTCTTAAATTTTCTTCATACTTCCCAATAATATAAGATAAATTAAATTATTCTAGGTAAATAAATATAAGAAAAGTTGAAAAAAATATAAAATTTAAGTTTAAAAATACCAATTTAATCATATTTGGGAAGCATCAAGTACATTTTATTCAATCAATATTCTCTGTATATTTTAAAAAATGCTCGTTATACAGTGAAAGAGGGTATTATTCAAAACGTACCTTTTTCTTGTAATTAATAATTAAAAAATAATAATTTTATTTGTTAAGTGGTACATTTTTTAAAATTAATATATAAAAAAATTTACTATCAAATTTTGGGTTAGTTAAAAATGGTTAACAAAAAAATTTTGTTAGTTTTTAAAAATTAAAGGCGCCTTTAATAAGTTCCATGTTGACAAATCCTTTTTATGGTTAATTAGTTGTAACGGGCTCATATGCAGCTGCCCCCCCCCCCGAAGCAAAAAAATTCAGGGGACAATTTACAATTTTATGAATATTAATTTAAATTTTATAACAATCATTCCTATCTCTTATTGCATATATATTCCAATTTACATTTATTTATCATATTCACAACATAAATAAATACTACACTATAAATTTATTCTACGAATTAATATCGAGTTCAAATTTTCCTTGGCGTTATATTTATCTAGATTTTTAAATTTTCAATCAAATAATTTGAAGCTTTATAATATAAAACTATAGTAAGATATTTTTTTAAAAAATGACATCGATTTAATCGAGACTGAGAATAGCTGAAAGCATTATATTGGTCAACCTCGTCTCACAGCGGGAGAAGCCCATTGTTCCAATATTAATATAGGGAAAGTAGAAGAATACTATATAACCCTATAGATACTTTTATAACTCAAATGAATACAAAGCTCTTGATTAATCAGACAGCACTCCAAATCTGCAAATATTACTTCAGAATCTTATTTCAAATCATCATCCCTACTAACCCCCCCCCCCCCCCCATAGCAAAATCCTGTGTATGAGCCTGAGTTGTTCTATCAATATATGCAATATAAACACTATCTATATTAACCCTAAAATTATCATAATTTTCTTTTGTGTAACTTTTTAAGATTTATATTTTATATTTTATCATATTTACCTTCTAAAAATGATTGGTTTAAATTTGAAATCCCTGTTTCCCAACCTCATAGGATTCTCCATCCTATGCTTATCATTCTAATTTAGAAATTCCATTAATATTAAACATTATTATAATAAAAAATCAATTGATTGCACCGAATAACATAAATAATTATGATTATTATTTGTTGGAGAAATGATTGAGGATGATCGATATTTTAAATCTCATAGGTAAAAAATAATTCTATTTGGAATTAATGGGAATGATTGATCATTAGAGCTATTAGTGTATATTAAATTCTTACATTAAACATAATTTACTAAAAATATGGATTTTTTTAAAAATAATTTAATTTTTGATAACTTGCAAAAAGAAAATTAAACAAATAGGATATTAAAATATGTAAACAATATTTTTTTACATTTTTATCCCCGTTTAAATTCGAAAAATCATTAAAAAATGTTATGTTGGTGGTTACCAGACAAACCCGAGTATGATAACTCCTTCCGATAACTAAATAACTTATGTGTCTGTTGTTATACGTGCCCATCTGTACCACTTGTAACTCGATTAAACTATAGCATTTCCCAGAAAAAAAGAAAGAAAGACCTTTAATAAATATTACTTTTGGGACGACCTAGATACCATCCCATCACCCTAACTACAAAATAAAAATCAGGCAAAAGGCTCATATTTTTTTAAAAAAGCTTATAATTTAGATCTTTCTTCATAAAAAATTATTTCGGGCTAAACATTTATGGGCCAGGTCAAAAAACCCTTTCAAGATTTTTTTTAATCCAATATAAATGCCAAACAACTATTTATAAAATTAAACATTACCTCGTAAAAAGGGATGATAGTAGGTGTCCAGATCACGAGATTCGGTATTGCGGCGTAAAGTCCTGTGCTTGGTTGCTATGTTGTTGCCATCAACGATCAATCTCTTGAGTGCGTAATAGATGGCGAAATTGTTTTCCCCCTTTGGCCCAGGCCTTTGAAAACGACGATCGCAAAAGCGAGGGGATTTATCCTCGGGCGCATCGCTGTCGTCATCGCCCCGAATCACGCGACAACCGCATTTGACGGAGCGATGCCGGGCCAACTTACGAGCAGTTTTAGAGAATAATTTAGCATTATTTTTAGCGTGTATGCATTTCTAGGTTGAATAGTTATCAAAAAATGTTACAGTAAAATTTCTTTCAAGTGTAAATTTAGTATTAAAATATTTTTTATAAATCGCAAATTATGAGAATAATATCTATCTATATGTGGAAAAGGCGGTAATTTTTTTGTACTGTAAAAGTAGATTCATTTATATTTGACTTAGGATTATACTCATAAATAGCCGTTTACTTTATGCCATGTCCAAAATTTTTCAGTTTAAAAATTCGAAGATTTCAAATTCTATTTAAATCGTATAAATTTTTGAAATTTTCTAGAATCATGTTTTTATTTTTATATTTAAAATAGCTTATTAATTTATTTTCATTTAAAGTTTCGAAGGCTTGCAAATTTAATTTTCTGATTTTTTGGACACAACATTAATCGATCGTGTTGTGTAAGGTAATATTTTCTTTATTAAATTCAATTCTTGGGGTCAATATAATTGTAAATACAAGCGTATCCGAAATAGCCATTTCCTTGCTATGGCTTCACAAATCTCTCTCATAACATCACATATCGATTTTTTTAAATATAAAATAAATTCACGATAAAATATCTGAATATTTGCTCTTGCAAGCGTACCCGTACTTGTAAATATTTTTGATGTGTATGTTATGTTATTGTTATGTATGATTGTTCGACCTTCAAAAATAGCTAAACCGAATAATGATATTATTCGTATCATTACTCCAATAACTTTTTATTATTCGTATAAGTCCGAACCGAATATAACAACCGCTATTAGATTCGAAAATGAAAATTTTAAATTATTAAAGACGAGCAATGCATTAAGCAATGTAAATCAGGTATTTTTATTATATCAATTTATAAATTTTTTTCATGCATATTGTTCAAAATTTGTGTTTCGTTTGGAGAGGAGGGGATAGTTCAAAGGTCAGTGTCGCCCTGGTTGACCCAGAAGGAAAAAAGATTTTTGAAGGTTTTGAAAATGTTTTTAACCCTGTGTCTAAAACATCAAATTAAAATTTTTAAACTTTCAAAATTTTATGGAAAAACATGGGAAACATTTTTTTAATGAAAAAAAATAAAAGTATGGCCAAAACATTTTTTAAAAAATTTCATAACTTTGACGTCTATCTTCTTTAAATTTGTGGATATTTAAAAGTTGTGGACACAACCTAAAGCTAGATCCATGTCAAATCGATCAAAAAACACGATTTTCGAGATAAACCCTTTTTTTAACGAAATTTTGCGCGAAAATTTAGCTATTATATTCATAAAGATTTCAGGGGGTAGAAACATAAAAAAAATGGCCTTTTTATGAGTGTCGGTTTTCATTTAATTAATTAAAAGATTAATAACTCTAAGCCTCTGAAAAATTTAGTATCAAAATAAAGCATTTTTAGCCCATTTTTTGTCAGGAACAATATTTATGACCCTCATACAGAAATTCGATTATAATAAAACAAATATTACTATCATCATACAATATGAATACAAAAAAATCAGAGACGAGTTTTTTGACACCATAAACCGCTAAAAGTTAGAAAGAAAAGAACACATATATTTTATTCTCTTTCCCTAAATATAGATGGGGAATGGCTTAGTTATAGCCGCTCTTGGCTAAGCTGTAGCTAATAAAATTCACTCATTTTTAAAAAAAATTATTCGCCAGAGCTATTTAAAATAGATACCGCCATTCTAGTTATTTTTGTTGGCTAAGATCTTAATGGTTATGATAATTTTTTTTAAATATTAAAATGATCTAAAAGGTTCCTATACATCATTATCAATGCCTGGTAGGTGGAGAGGCTTTAGGGTATGGGACATGCCTTGGACTGTGCTGATCTCTAACCTAAAAACATTGTATAGGTTCTTTTTGATAAATTCCTTTCTAATACAAATCAATAAAAATATTAATGCAATATTTTAAGTAATAGATATATGCACAGCGCAAAATGGGATGGCTCGGGCAAAATATTTAGCAGAATTTTAAATATAAACTTAAAAAGCTTTAAATATATTTTCGCATAATGGTGAGATAGCCTTTATAAAATCTTAACACGCCAATTAAAGCCAAAATGTATAAATTACATTGCCTAATCATTGGATTTTAAAAAAAAAATTTTTATAATCCATCTGGTAAACATTTTGATATCAATTTAACTTAATTTTTTAAACTTTTTGCAGTTTATTTTGTACCCGACTTAAAGAAAATTTAAGCCTAGCTTGAGAGCTGTGCAGGTCTCCACTTAAATACAGTATAAATAAAATTTTGCACCACAAACCAAAGCTCCGTCTAAAGATAAAGCGTATTGAAAATTCTAATTACGCCATCTACAGTATATAAAATATTGTTCGTTTTTTAAAATAATATTTATCGATTATCTCTAAAAAAATTGTATTATAGAATGGTAATAGTAATGTTTGTTAAATTTTTATTAAATATGAGGTTTCTAAATATTGTTCTGGATAGATGTCCTTAAAACTTTTTAAATACATTTTAATTTTTTAATGCCCATCCTTTTTTTTTATTTAAAATTATTTTTCCAGATTAAAAACTATATTTATTTCCATTCCCCCTTCCCTCCTTTTTTCCAAAAATCAGATGATTATTTTATTACTATGAAAATTATGATATTAGCCTCTTGTAAAAATATTAAATAGGGATTTTTTTTCTTTAAAAGATTAAAAGATATACATTCTTAAATTTAAATTTAATAAGAAAGAAAGATGATGCGCTAACATGTTTTCTACTTCCGGTGGAAAATTTGAAGTGGTAGAACGGTAAATATTATTTTATTTTAATCATATTTATTTACAGATTCTATGAACATTATATCTCAATATTGATAGTAATTATAACTTACACTAAAGAAATTAAGCTTAAAATCAGCCATCACCCACCTTTAAAGTAATTAAATTATACTGTAGTTCTCGGGTATAGGCTTTTTCTTTGTCCCACTCCTTTTAAATTAAAGCCTATAGAGGTTTAAGCAACATTTTTCGAAATGTTGTGCCTACAAGTACGTGCGGCTTGCCCACAAACGTGTGGAAAGCTCCTCATATTTTTACTTTTATACCCAAATTAAATTGTTCCAATTAGATGGAAATGAGGAAAACCTAGCGTAGCTCTGTTGTGTATTCAACGTAGGGCGATGCGCTATATATCACGTATCACGTAAATATTAATAAAATTTATTTAATATGTATTTTGTTAATATATATTATATCGCCCCAAAGTTCAAACCTGAACAAATATTCGTTTCGGTTCAGATCTATAAATATTATTAACCTATTTGGCTTATTTTAAAAAACGGCCAACTCAATACTTTAGCCAGATAAATATTACCAAAACCTCGAGATTTCAATAGAATGCCCAAACTTTTGTGCCATCTATGACCACAATCTTAAGGCTTGCGTAAAAGCTTTCTGAATAAAATATAGCCGTTTTTAAAAATTGACTCAAATCGAGCAATACTACCTATTAATATATAATTATTTAACCTCGGTAGGATTTTTTAAAAAATATTATATTTATTTTTAATATTAAGTTTTAAATATAAGGTCCGTGTTTGATTTTGTAGACTCTGATTTAAATCTTTTTTCCGACTCTCAGACTTTTCTATATGAAAGTCCTAATAATGATTTTGATGAGGTAATTTTATTAAAAAGCTATTATATTGATTAAATATACTTTATTGAAATGCTATTAATTTTATTACTTTTTAATGTCTAGACGCAAATTCGGTTTAGTCCCACCAGGGAATTAGAAGATAAAACAACTTTTCGATTAGATAGTCCTTCAATTATTAAATCCAAAATCCAACTTTACAGATACGCCAAAAAAACTAAAATGCAAACGTTGCGATGTACACTATAAGGTTAGTACTGCAACAAGTATAATAGGTTTCAATAATAGATATTACTATATTTTTAATTATAGTCAATTTTAAAAACCATATGAGAAAACTGCATCCCAACGTATTAGAAAGTGAAAATCAATGGTATCAGAAACCTTGTATGGTGCAAGAAAACTGACAAATATTGAAAATACCCATTTGAATAAACTAATTCTTAGATATTTTATAAAAAATAGCATTGCGTTTCATATATTCGATAGTGAATCCTTTGGAGATATATTTAATATGTTAACAATAACATTAAGATTTGGTGTCGACAGACATCTTAACACTTATCTTATATTTATAATTAGGCTAAAAAACTTATTATCTTAAACTTAACCACCGATATCTGGATGGGGTTAAATTCATTATCTTACCTCGCAATAACTTTTCATTACCTAGATAATAAATGTGCTATTAGTTTTTTATTAGACCTGAGCGAATTCGATCACCCACATTCTAGTGAGGATCTTAGTGAAATGTTAGGCTCTCTTAAAGAATTTGAAATAGAAGTTAAAATATAAACCGCAGCCCATGATAACGCCCCTAACATAATATTAGAGGCCGAATTTATGAAAGAACAATTTATTACAAAATATAATAAAAAAATTTAAAGCAATAGTGCTTAGCACATATAATTAATTTGATTGTGAGGGAAGTTCTGGATTCATTTCAATCAAAATTAGAAAAAATTGATAAACATATAAAAAAAGGTACATAGAAGCCCTAAACTTATGCAAAAATACATGCTTATAACTTGAATTCCAATAGACGTCGCAACAAGATGGAATAATAAATATTTAATGATATCCACTATTAACAAAGTAATATTAATTTATTGATTTCATAATTTGTTTTTTATTTCTAGAATAGAGGCCATAAGCATATTATATAAAAAAAATGTTTGGTTGAATTTGTTATACACAACGAAGATTTAAAATTCTTAAAGGAACTAGAGGCGATCTTACATCTCTTTTACAAGATCATTTGTAGATTAGCTCGGAATCTCTTACAACTATATAGGATTAGCTGTATATTGTACTTTGAAAGTATTTCCAAAACTTTAGGTGTAAGTGTACCATTAAGCGACTAGCGAGTTATATGTTGGACAAATTTAAAATATATG